TGGCGCGGGCTGACGACGGTCGTGTCTCTGTAGTGTCTGGTGTAGTTTTCGAATGCTGCGGCGGGATTTCAATCTTGTGTTCGCTGTAGTTATGACATGGTAGCCCTCTGTTAAAGCAACATTGGTTCCTTACGTATGGTGCGTATGAAGATGTCTTCAGTTTGCGAGTAAAATGTATCCTGCCTTCACGCCAATACGCCAGACCACACGCGCCAGGAACTTTTCTGCGCTTGAGAATTGGGTCGGCGTCTTCATTTAGTTGTCTGGTGTTTACAATACCTGTTTTTTCAGTCCTGTAGTTACCTTTTCGCTGTTGACTCTATTTTAACGAGCCAGGTGTAGTAAACTTAAGAGAAATAAATCGTGTTTCTGTATAATAATAAAAGCTATGTTGCTAAATAACTTTTTACGGGTACATTTTAAAGTTGATGACAAACAAACATATCCAAATGACATATTCAGTCTACATAAGCAAATGGACGTCTGTTACCGGTAGACAACTATTGGTAATACTGAAATTGAAAATGATTAAAACCTTTATTTCCAACCAAAAATTTGGGATATAAATGAATGACGAGACAAAAGCGTTAGAATTTCAAACAAGGTTAAACGGCTAAATAGAAATGTGCTGAAATATTGAATTTTTCATAATTGGTGCACATATATCAAAATTCATTAAACACGTTCATTGGATTAACAAGGACATTTTTCTAAACATTCGGTTTTTCCTAATGACCGATAATACTCTTCATTCGTCATTAACGTACAATTTATAATAATAAATAACAATAATATGATAATTGTTATTGTTATTTTATTTTTGTTTTATTATTTAAGGTTAGAACTTGGTAAGTTTACTTAGAATTTGATATATCAAAATTTTAAAAATCACTTTCAGAGGAAGCATGCTCATAGGACGCTCTTGATGACATTAAAAATTTGCTTCCGCCACCAAAATTCCCTGCCCTGCGATTTCGAGAGCCTTGCGGTTGCGGACGAAAACCTCATCCTGAAATCTACCGCAACTTGGCAGACTCTTCCTGCTCCTCTTGCCACTTCCGGCCACCTACACTGCTGACTGTCGCGCCTCTTTCCGACGCCCCAGCCCATTAAACGGCGATTCCATTTACGTGTTGTGTGGTTTGATTCATTGTAGGGTAGTGATGTGACGTCCTTTGTCACGAACGTATCATAGTTCTTCTGAAGCTTTGTTGATAAGACTTAAGTTCATTGCTGAGGTGGATTCCCCTTCAGAAATCTATAGGGGAATGACAACACACGAACACCAACTGATAAATATGTCTCTGAATAAGACAGCTTGAACGGTCGATTTTTTGGTACACATACACCAATATTGTTTTAAAATAAATGTATAACACTCTGTATAGCATTAACTTTTTTCATTTACATTTCAATGTTTTTATTTTAAGTACATTCGTGATTTCAACGATGTTTCGGGATTAAACCTGATGATGGAATAAAATGTAACTCCTTCACGTAACCGTAACGTAACTTTACGGAAACATTTGACGTAATCGTCATTTAAAAACTGAAAAAGTGATGCTATTGCCTTATATGCAATAATGACTTTAAACATTGAATGTAACCAAAGCGATGTGTTGATGTATATAATGCCATTAAAATAACATATAGAAATGTGTTTACATATCGATATACAAAATATAATTTATTTATAGGATTAATTAAAGTTTAATATTTGATGTGTACACCATACATATATTAACAAATCACTTGTTTTTATTTATTTTAATTTCATAATACTTTTTTGTCAAATGAATTTCCGTTACCAGGTTGTTAAAAAATCGCATTTCCACTTCGGATCCCACTTCGGAAGAAAGTGTTAGAAAAATAACTTTTATCAACTGATGAATTCGGCACACATGGTTTCAGTCCACCTGAACATCTGCTCTCGATGTTGAAGAGTACATTTTTCTCAGCAGCGACGGACGCGTCACATTTTGTGCAAGCTTTATTCTATCTAGTTAAGTGGCATTCCCTATTATGTGATCGTACGTATTGTTGACCACATAGAGATCTCATACTGCTGCGCAACAGGGTTATTTAACTTAATAGATTTCGTGGAACACGAAATGAACTCAGTCAATGAGATCACAGAGTATTGCAACCAGTGACCGAAGATGTCCAGTTTGCCAGAAGATTAGGTGAGAAACCTAAACTTAATTTCGCGGAAGCAAAATAACTTGCGGTGGTGTCTTATCATTTTCTGCTGACGGGGAGAATGAATGAGATACTTGTAACTGAAAACACGAAGAGCCTTAAAAAGCAACAGAAAAGTAAACCACAAAAACATGTCATGCGTCAACGACCCAGTGCAGGGGATATGCACATTATCGCTATTCGCTTGGAAACCCTGCCGTCACGGGAGGAAGTTTCTTTTGAAGTGTCGCCATGAGTGTCGTCATCAAAATCACTAGTACATCGGCACATGAACAAGCCTCTTCTGAAAGGTAAACTTCGACAAATTTAATGTATACGAATAACGTAATCAATATTATACAGAGTTGCGTGTAAGACGCAGGCGCTATTCAAAATAATCTGCTTTGAGTCGAGAGGTGGAAACATTGAAAATGCAAACCCCTGAGTTCAGAATCTCTTGCCATCAGAATATTTTGGGCTTCGAGAGCCATACGGCCTTTTTGACAGTACACGAAAAGAGAGGGCGGAAATGAGGAACGTGGACTTTTACGGTTAGAGGAAATCTCCACTTCCATTCCGATAAGCCGGCCTGGCCTTCAGACATTCGAGAAATAACCCCTGGTAGTCCCCCTACTGAAAACAGTCACCTACGGTTACTTAATCGTGAGGCAGGGATTACTGTCTGCATAGTAAACGAGAACGTGTCACCTGAGGAAAAAGCAAAAACGAAGGATTCGTCTTCAAGAATCATGTCTGAGGCGCATTGGGAAATTCTCCCCTTGTCCATGACTTCCTAAAATACTGTACACATATTTTATTAATCAAACGAAACAAGTTGCGGGTAAGCAAAAGCAGTATGCTATTTTAAGCAACGACATATGTAATAAATGTAACAATACTAACTAAAATTACTTTTTTATCAAATGGAAATACAGGAAATTGCGAATTTACCACACGAAAGAAAAAGTTCAACACTAGATTCTGGGAAAACGGTAATACATTTTAAGAGATAACATGCATGAAGAAGTTAAGGTCTAATTAAAATTTTGCAGAATTGATATCTTATTTCTACATTAGATTTATCTCTGAAGAAATTAAGCCAATGACCGGACACACTTCGATATTTTCATCTATACTGACCGAATAGGTTGATATGACACTTGACAAATCATTTATAATTTCTTTTCAAAAAAAATTGTTTCTCAATTTGAGAAATGTAAGAGTTTTAACCATTGACCTGATATGCATCTTAAAATAATACCGAAACTCTTCTCTAAGAAGTCCTATGGGTGATCTAGATGGCTACAAAACCTTAGGTCCACTCATCATTTCTCAAAATTTCATATTTAGGACCTTCACAGCGAAGGTTATGGTGTGCTATTAGCGTTAAAATGAAATACTTTATCAATAGTCACAAAAAGTGTAGTTGTAATTTTGTAACTCGATCTCTGTTATTTAACAATGTATGTTAGCAACATTTATTAATCATTATACATTAATCAATGTCAAATTTCACAAACTGTAAGAGGAACTCTAAAAAGTAAAGTATCGTCACTAAGTAGGGCTTTCATCAGTTGGCTCTTTTAGATTGTCCTAAACATTGGAAATGAAAAAAAGAAACTGTTGTAGGGGATTATTTTACAATTATCATGCACTATTGTTATTTGAATATTCCTAGTTATTTAAAATTACGTAATTTCATTCGTAATTATTTTATATTAACTTGCTTGTATGTCATTTATTTTTATTCTTCATTTTTTTCATTTAGGCATTAAAGTAATGACAATGGACAGCTTACCGTTAGGTATTTCGTGGATAAGGATGAAAATTTACTTCATCTCCATTATGATTCATTCACAGACTAAAGTACGTTATCCAAAGAAACCATTTTGATCAGGTTTTGATCCAGTTTCCTTCATACATTGAGCAAATTCTGAGATGGGCCCTTGTTTTGATTTTGGACGTAAATATAGCTTCACTATGCGCACGTTTGTTTAACTCTCCTTTTGCCTGTAGTGGTAGGAGTAGAGGTACTATTTTCTTAGCAGTGCAGAAAAATCAAACCTGCAATTTGTTTACCTTTGCAAATAAGTTCTCTATAATTCCAGAACAAAAATGTATAGTTTTTCAAATGTTTCAAATTTCATTTTTATTTATTTATATTTAACTTGTACTTATCCCTTAACTATTTATAGTTAAAATAATGGGAAGGGATTTTGGAACTCATGAAAACGTGCGCAGATGATCTCCTCCCCATACGTCAGATACAGTTTTAAAAAACATATACTTTTTTACTAAATAAATCTAATCTAAATCTAATATTGTAGGTTGTAGGTTCTGTTTTTTTCAGTACGACTAGACATTGCAAATATTTTTACTGCACTTTTTAAAAATAACTGTACAGTTATACAGCTATTGTGAAATATTATAGAATTACTTTCATTGCACATTTTGCAGAGAATTCGATGTTTACTGATTAAAAACTAAAATTCATGTAATGACGCATCATACGACGTATTAAATGTATAGAATCCCTCTAGCAGTATATCCTTCATACCTCTAAAATGGACTATATGCCATCCTTAAATATGTCATCCCTTAACATAGAAAATGTTTTTCATTTGACGCACACAGGAGGATAACACTCGCATTTCCATCGCTGATGTGTCACGTTCGTGCCATAGATAGCCGCGTGCGTTCGCCGGGATCGTCAACCTAAGCGAGGGAGTTCCCCAGGGTCCCCTCGCAAGCGTCGTAACGAACGCAGCGAGTACAAGCGCCGTGATTGGCCTGCGCGGCGGCGGTGATGCGTAACGCGTCGCCTACGCTTTTGACACTGGTGGCGGGGCGGCGGCGGTGGCGGTGACGACGTTGGAGGCGCTTTGTCTGTCTCCGCTTCCATCTTCGTTGGCGCAACCGCCTACTCCACCGCCACCGCCACCACTTCAACAACGAAAGTCTAGGAACGAAAGTCATGAAGCAGGCGGTGGAGTCGAGGTTAGCGTTGGTTTGAGTGGCGGTGGAGGAGAGGGCGAGGGGGCGGTGGCGAAGGGAGAGTTCGTGGCAGTGGCAAGTAGGGGGCGGAGACATTAGAGCTGGCAGAGTGATTGGCGGGGGCGGAACCATTGAAGGTGGCATAGAATCATTCTTGATTTATTTATCCTTCCGGGTATGTCATCTGCAAGGTCCTTTTAGTATAGTGAATGAATTGTCCTGCGAGGAGGGTGAGTGCCTCCCCACCACAGTGAGATCCGGCGCTGACCTACACGTCGGCTTGCAGGTGTTTCCCGCCTCCAGATATCGCCCCTAGAAGAGCACCGCTCCAACCGGGACAAGCCAAGCCTCCGACATATAAGTGCAAGTGCATGTGTAATATATAGGATAGGACAAGGAAGAAGGAAAGATCGCGCGTGTTATGTGACCCATTTCTTACGGTACTTCTCCGTCAGTCGCCTGATATTCATTGGAAAAAACACGGAAAACTACCGATCAGCGACCGGCCGCTGTAATTCTCGAGACATCGACAGACATCGACCTACCTCTATGAAAATCCGCCGACTCGAACCCAAGTACCTCCCGATCAAAGTCGCTGCAGAGCCATCGGCATTGTTAGTGGATACATTAGAGGTGGAGGAGAAGGATGAGGAAATGGGAGAGGAGGTGACGATTGTGGTAGCGGGGGCAAGGACATCGACAAAGCGGGGAAACGCGGGGGGGGGGTGATGGCTGGCCGGGATGGAGGATAAGGACGCTGCGGCGAGGAGGCGGCGTGGGTGGCTCAGGCGTTGCGGAACGGAGGAGGAGGAGGAGAAGCAGAAAGAGGAGGAGAAGGAAGAGGGGAGGAGGAGGAATAGGGGGAGGAGGAGGAGAAGCAGAAAGAGGAGGAGAAGAAAGAGGAGGACGCCGCATCGGCGAGCAAGAGGAGGTTGCGTGGGTGGCTCAGGTGTTGCGAAACGGAGGAGAAGAAAGAGGAGGAGGAGAAGAAAGAGGAGGAGGAGAAGAAAGAGGAGGAATAATAGGTGGATGAGGAGGAGGAGAAGAAAGTGGACGACGCCGCATCGGCGAGGAAGGGATCGTCATGGCGTGGGTGGCAGAGGTGGCTCAGGCGTTGCGGAACGGAGCACGAGGAGAAAGAGGAGGCGACGGCGCGCGGCGGCAGTGATGGCTGGGCGCTTCCTCTAAGGACAAGGTTCCGGAACGAAATGTCACAGCGCGCTGCGAACGTGCGTGGCCGCTTTACGATATTGGCTGAATCGAGGAATATTACACCACCGCTCCGACTAGGCCGTGACGCGGAAAATGAATATCCGGTGATCCTGTAAATATTGACTTTCTGAGAAATAAAAAACGTTGAGAATGTTTGCTTCTTTCGCACTGCAGTCGTGGATAAGTTTTGGCGTCCTATAAAACGCTACATTTTCTTCATGCGCATCCAATTTTTAAGAGTCAAATATTTCAATTCATTTGTCTTTCGTGTTCTGCTCGTTTTATATGTTTAATTTATTATAAGCGGAATAGCTTTTTGGGGTTGTGAAACATGGATGTCTTCTCGGTATTTTATTGGAGATTTTATGATACAATATGAGTTGCGTGCTCTTTTATCTGCGCTTATATGTTGGGCCGAAACCGTGTTTACCTTTAAGAATTTACGAGCTTCATAGAGAGTTACGCTTCCAGTCCTTCATAAAAAAAACATGAATCTCTACTTCGCTCAAAATGTCACATACCTTCATATCCACCCGATTATTTACACAGAAAAGTAGAAATTTGTTAAAATATCATTACAAAATTTCACTACGTTACAAGAAGATTCTCCATTGGTTTAGTTTTCAACAGTATTATCACAAATGATGACGTATCGAGATCGTCATGAAATTCTGTTTAAGGCACTGAAGAAAACCTTTATTTATTGGCATTTTTTTCGACCAATTTCTTCTTCTTTCTCTTGTACTCTAAACCTCTGAGTGTTCACCTTCTAACTACTCCCGCGTACTTTCGGAGTCTTTCCAGCTTATGTGCGAGGAGTACCATCGACCTGCCGTCGAGATAGCGGGGAGGGGTTTAAAGAGGAAGAATTGTACAGAATCCCACCTCTGCATTAAGACTGCTCCAGCATCTGCCTGCCTGGATGAATTGATTGATAAATTTATTACTCTCAGTCAGAGGCACGGCAGTTAACCAATTGATGCCCTGAGACACATGAGTCAGTGCCAGCGTGAAATTGATGGGCGGGCGCCACAGAAACGTCCGATCAAAGCTGCAAGCCCCTGCAAGCCCCTGCACAAAACACGTACGTGCACTCTTGCACTGGGCGGGACATGCCGCGCCCCTGGCGAGGGAAGATGGCGACTAGCTTTCGCAGGGCTTCACAGTAAACTGTTGCGGCGGAATACACGAAAACCTGTTTTCGGTACGTTTTAGTTCCAGTAAAAATTAATTAAAAAAATAATTGAAAATATTAAAAAAAGTTACTTTAAAGTTGGACTCAAGATTTTCAAAAGAATTATTAAGAATTTGATTACTAAAAATACATTAACAATGAAATGTAAAAACGTTTTTCGTGTCTGGTGAGGCCAAAAAACATTTGAAAGAATTCGGATTAGTATCATTGAATAATTATATATTACATTCTTTCGCATTCGTACACCCCACCCGGTTGGTACTGCCTTGTAAGATCAACTGGCTTAAACTGCTAAAATTACTGTCTTATATAACTTAATTTAAATGATTTTAGTTTAGAGCTAAATTGATTTTAAAATGTTTGTATTATTCAATAAAATGCTTCCTTACGGAATGCCAGTTCTTGACGCTAGTTCTCTGCCTTCTCATGAAGTCTGCTAACCTCTGCTTTTCCACCCTTGAATTTCATCAGGCGGCGAAGCACAAACGAAGTCATTCGCGCCGCTTCGTCCCCTGATGATGTTTTAGGTCAGGGGATTGCTTGCATCGCCCCTTACATTCTCTCTATATTGTTCAGGGTGTCTTGCGAGGAAACGTCGAAACTTCGAAAATAAGCTCTTAAGACAATTTTAAACATATTTTGTCTAGCAAGCTTTTTGAATATTACCGATGACTGAATCGCAATAAGCATTCGAAAATAAAAATCTGCATGACACAAGCATATAAATACTCCAGAAACATGTAAATTGTTAATTATTTTAAAAAGAAATGAACATATTTGTTCAAAAAGAAAAATTAACCGAAAACTAAGAAAAGAGCCAAATTGTGTAAATTGTGTTTTTTTTATTTCAGAGTTAATTCTTCTTTCTGAACAAATATATTAATTTGTTCTGAAAATAATTAACAATTTACATGTTTCTCGAGTGCTTACATGCTTGTATAATGCAAATTTCTGCAAAGAAATATTATTTTTCAAACCAACATTTGAGTACTTATTGCGGCTCAGTCACTCGGAATATCAAAGTCTTAGACAAAATATACTTTAAATTGTTTTACGAGGTTATTTTCTCAGTTTCAACGTTTCCTTCCTGAACACCTTGTATACATTACAATAACATGAAGTATTGTGAAGACACGCCTTAATCCTGGCAATTTGACAAAGAATATGAAAAAACCTTTTTGAAAAAATCGTTTATTTTATTTATGTTTAATTACGTTTGCGGTATTAACATTTTTATTTTTAAATATGTAATACATTTTTAGAAACAAAATCACATATGCTAATTTCGCAAATGTTCGATTTCAATTTTTGTGAATAGTGTAATATTCGAAAAGAGGGATGAGATACAAGTATACATTGGGCTATCGACACCAATCCCCTCCTTGATCGTTGTTGTCCCTCAGTGAAATTCTATCGAACCCCAGGCGGTCGATACCGACGTCGATACATCATTTGGATTGGGTACCTCCACTGCAGATGTTTTCCAACAGACTAGCGGACTCATTGACCGCTTCGGCCCAACTTCTTCTTTAGGGTTGAAAATCTAGAATCTCCCGATCAACGAAGCTTCGTTTGCGAATTCGCAACTTCATACGCTCTTGCATTCCATTCTCAGAATATGAAAGATGCAAAGTAGTGGATTTTCCCTACACTGACGTTGGAAAGCCTCTTCGACCACACGAAGAATCTTCGAGAAATATGTAAGTTGGTCAACGAGTGCGGTTAAATGCATCTAACTGCATTGCAACGCTTGTACAACATAACCACAGTAGTAGGCTATCACCCGCATAACCACACTTATCTAACACTTGAACTTTTAACCTCTCTAGAATTAGTTCCTCTTTCTTCGTAGCGGTGTCAACTACGTCAATAACTATCCGCGTAAATAAAAGGTAACATTTGGAAAAAAACCGTCTTCGTAAGTCTAGGTCGGCCTTAGATCTCGCCATCTCGCAAGGAAAAATCTCAGCTCAATAAAAACAGGCCTACATTTACGAAACTAACGACTTTGGCGATTTGGAAATTAAAAAAAGTCGTATAAATAAGAAATGTTTTCTTAGAATGTATAGGGCACTTTCATACCTTATTTTTCCACTATTCTCTTCCTTCATTGATCGTATTGGTTCGATGAAATCATTATTAGAATTAATCGAATCAATACGATACCATCAGAATTAATAATTTCTGGAGATGGTTTCCTGGTTCAATTTTGTGCGCTTGGCAGGTAAAATGGTACAATTGTGACAAGTTCAACAATGATTTAGTTATTCCAAATGGCGTTCTGGAGCACGTACTTTGCGATAGTAAAGATAAGTTATCACAATGTACTAAGAAAAGGTAACATGATATGGTTATATTCGCGTTACCAGGCTAGAAAGTGGAATTTTTACAAAAGTAGAGATCAATACTGGGAAGTCAGGTGTGTATGTCCCGAGAATGAAAATATGGCCCGCGACCATATTAAATGTTTTAGTTATAGCTCTTGAGGCTTTGTAAGTTGGACAGCCTTGGAATAGCTGATGGCTGAAGTGTTAGCAGGGCAGAAATTGCAATATTATAATATTACATAACCGTTCCCGATAATGCGAAAAAAGTATGTGCTGTTGTAGAATCTCTAGTTAATTATTTTATTTGGTTACATTATGTGGTGGTTTACTAAATTTTTTTTACAATATTTGCAGTGAATGTTGGGATGCTTACTAGAAGCGTTGTAGTTATTAACTACATTGATAATTAGTTCGGAAAGTTGTTTTTGACTTCAGAGGAGATGTTTCCGTACGAGGTGGCATTCACCTCTTCCTGAAAATCGAATTCTCGACTTTCCAGAAGTGTGACGTGCCACACCTACTTCTTTCATACTAGTCACATTTCCTTTTTAATTTAATACATAAAGCTTGATGCACGAGTGTAAATAAACCATTGAAATCTGAAAACAAACCTGCGACACCACAGCTCTTTAGACGCTTTGCGAATTTGGTGGGAGACATGTGGTTACAAAACAAACCAGAAAATTTTGAAATTTACAAAGTAATGTAATAAATAATAATTTGTAATGCCAACATTCTGTTTTTTATGTGTGTAAGCAATGAAAATGCGACAATACATTAATTATGATTCTTTAGATATTGTGACTTCAATTGTTTCCATTCTATACTATTATATATTTTCAAATAAATTATTTATTTTATTTGCTTAATTAAAAAACATATGAAGGTGGCATTACGAATCTGACAGAAAAATTAATCACTCTTGTCTCTTAATCGTCGTTTAAATAGAAATGTAGAATTTTCTGAATGTAAAGGTGATAAGTAGGGGCGGATTTTGATGACCTAAAACACCTCCAAACATAATCAATAAAATGCTCTTAAAATGTTTTTAAAATGCTCTGTAAGCAAATAAAAATTTTGATCAAAACTAGTTCAGATAAACAATTCAAGCTGCTGGATGTATTACTGATGTAATGGAGGCTTCTTCCATTCATCCAAGTGAACTGAGCTGGCAAACGTTTGGTTTGTACTGCTCTTTACCACGCAATCGCTGACTTAAGTTATCACGAAATCGGCCGAACCAACTATGACACTGATAGACGTCACAGGAACCTTGGATTACTTACACGGCTGACATTATAATTGCTGAGCAAAGAAATCTAATATGCAACTCAGGAATTCTATGGAGATCATTTTCTGCTTCACGTAAATATTACTTGAAGCAAGTACCATTCAAATGATATTAAAATCCATGAAATCAGCGAAACATTCTTTAAGAATGACGGGAAAAGGTAAAAAATCGCTTATTAAAATAAACGTCGCTTTCTGAAATCGACGAAAAATGTTATATAAAATGGGTCATTTCCTATTGTCAAACATGAATGATTATACTAAAAGGCATTGTTCTATAGTGAAAAGAAAAAATGGTATTTCATTAAAATCCGCCCCTAGTGATAAGCAATGAACATTGCGCTTACCCTTACCTGCTCCTTCTCCACGTTGTAGGTTTCCAGAAGCTCCTCAGCAAACTCGGTGATTACCTCCCACGCGTGTTCTGCAACAGAAAGCAATCCTCGCGAGATGAGCTATCGTGCGACGTTTCATTTGTTATGAAGGACAATTGGAGAGAACAATAATTAGTAGAAGCATTTTCGTCTGGTCTGCACTCGGCACGATTCATATCAGTAACACTGAAGTGTCACGAGCAAAACGATATTTAATGTATCTTTCTGCTAGGGAAGTTTAATAGGTGAGTACTGTGGCGCAGAAAAATGAGATCAACAAAAACGTTACAAGAGCAAAAAACGAACTACAATAATCGTCGAGAATATTGTCCATTGTTTATCAGTATGCATGCATATTCTCCAAGTCTAAAAAAATGAAAAATGTTAACGAATTCTAGAACAATACAGTCACTACAAACACATAGTTAAATATGTCTCTGGAAATGGAATCGAAATGTTTTATAATTACCGGTGTATGTTATTGTGAAGTAGAAAATCTCTGCTCTCAATCTTCAATACTTAAAAAACGTTAACTCGTATAATCATAATCTCTGATTTTTTTTGAAAATGGCGTTTTCTCCTATTGCTTTTACATACGCTTACTGCGCATGATTGAAGAGAACACTTCACTTTTTAATTTCTCGTTACGGAGTAGAGGGGAAGTTATGCAATGCTGTGTGAACAAACAGCGAATTCTTGACAGAAAAACTTATTAGAGGACCTTGGTAACGGAAAAGAGGATAAATGCTGATGCTAAATTTAGACAAAAAATATGTGCTGTACCTAGAATAAATATTTCGTGGGTCCCAGATACCGAAACATCGATTGACGGCAGAACGTCTCTCTGTCCGTCTGTGAACAACGCTAGCGGCTAAACCGTTCAGGCGATTTTCTCCAAAATTCATATCCCCCAATCCATCTATCTTATGTCTTGGCCTCTTGAAATTGAAACCGATATAATTTTGGGAGTATTTTATATGAAGCCTATGGGACATTTTCAAAATTTACAAAAACATGGCTCCCTCGTTTTCGATTATATTTTGTTGTTCGGTAGCGTAAAGGTCGTTTAAGAGAATGCTGCAAGTTTCATGTTCGTTGAAAAACCCTGATTTTTCGAAAATTGCATAAGTTCTAAAGTTTTTCGGCGTCTTCCTACAGTTACAATTATAAAGAGAGATTTTTCTTTTATTGAATCTGTTCCTTAAAGATAGATTTTGTAATAAGTCCAAGTACACTTTTTCGAAAATCCGAGTATTTTCGCGTAATTTTTCGTTAAATTATGGGCGAGAAAGTACGTGCTGTTTATATGTACTTGTTTATCGATAGTCCTTTCAAGTACAGTTATTGGGTCATGAAAGTTCTATAACAATGACTCACACTTTTTCTAAAATTGTGGTACACAAAAAACAACAACATTGAAGTAACGCGAATCTCTTGATACACAATAGAAATGGAATATTTGAGGACAGACACATGGTTAATTTTTCGTTGTATCGACGCTGTCTACGTCTCGTCAGTGTCTCAACGGTGTCTGGACATTGCCTCGTGAGTGTCTCGACGGTGTCTGTACGTTGCCTCGTGAGTGTCTCGACGGTGTCTGTACGTTGCCTCGTCAGTGTCTCGACGGTGTCTGTACGTTGCCTCGTCAGTGTCTCGACGGTGTCTGAACGTTGCCTCGTCAGTGTCTCGACGGTGTCTGGACGTTGCCTCGTCAGTGTCTCGACGGTGTCTGGACGTTGCCTCGTCAGTGTCTCGACGGCGTTTGGACGTTGTCTCCTCAGTGGCTCAATGGTGTCTCTACGGTGTCTCGTTGGTATCTCGTCAGTGTCTCTACGGTGTCTCGTCGGTGTCTTGACGTTCTCCCTTGGTTAATGGGCAGCCCGCCTTCTCCCTCGCGGATAGCAAAGCTGTTTAGAGCACTCGCCACTCCTCAACCCACGCCCTGCCGCCAGCTCGGCGGATCTGACATCCCGTGGCGTGACCCAGCCTTTGTGGCGCCGCCTCCAATTCGCCGACCGGCTCTAACCAACGCTCGCGAGCACGCGTGAACTCCACGCTGCCCAGTCCCACTCCGCGCGCCCCGCCCTCCGAAAACACCAACCCGCGTGCGCCCTCATGGACGAACATACTGCGTGATAAACAACGAAACAAAGACCCTACGAATTATTCGTAAGATAGACCCTGCGAATAAGTTTTTATGCACTCTGCATACAGGAGCGAAAGCGCCATTCTTATTACGCTTCTTGTGAATGTAGACAGTAGCCGTCCCCTGACTTCAAAGAGCTGGACTCTTGAAAGCTTGTGAAGACAGGTATGTTGTCTAGGTCGCCAGTGCGCTGTTCACGAGAGAAACAAGAAAACGGTACCGCGCACGAAGAGAAAATTTGTTAAGAGAGGACGAGCAAAAGTTAGTTTTTATAGGAACGAACTGAAGGAGACATCCAAAAGCATAGTAATTTTAAGAAACACTCTCTTTAGCAGCTACAGGGAGAGGTGGAGTCACTGTAGTGCCTCTGATTAGGAGGTCGTAGGTTCGAGTCCCGACGGTTTCAGAATTTTTGACACTAGCTTGAAAGCTAGTAGGTCGAATTCAGTCGCTATCTGGAGAAGAATTCTAGCGGCCGGCTGCTCTTATCGGTAGTCATCAGTAGTTTCTCCGATCAATACCAGGCGAATACTAGAGCAGTACCCTAACAAACGGGTCACAGACCGCACGCGATATTTCCTCCCTCTTCCTTGTTTATCGTCATCCCTCACTTGCACACACTTATACTTGCATGCACTACACTACCACATGCCAGGAGACACGTCGGAAGCGTGAGTTAAAAATTCTTGAGAAACTAATAAATTGATTAATATTAATTCGTAGATAGTAGACTATAAAATTGTAACTAATTAATGGGTAAGATAGATTGTTAATGCATTGTGTGGGAAAATGTTGACTATCACTGTGTATAAGTATCCGACGTAGAAGAAGTTTTTGGATAAAACGAATTATTGATGCTCTAAACTTATCCCCTGGGCTCAAAGGAAACTAGGCTCTTAACCCAAAACATTTGTTTCTGTGAAATGCTTTCCGTGAATGTTGAGTTGTTGATCTTTCTTCGCAAACATGTGACAGTGTTCATTAATCCAGTAAAATACCAAAAATTAATTAAATATTACCACACAGATCTTGATAATAATGGCATCGAGATACGTTTTAGGGATTTAATGAGCGAAGCAGTAATAAATTAATGAACTCGTTCAGTAGTCGACATTGTGCAGCCCATACACACACATTGCACTGTGCCGTAAGTTGTCGTTGAAGTAATAACTATATTACGATTACAGGGCGCATTACGCCCTGAGGAAGGTCGCAGAATGGCGACCGAAACGTCGGCACCTTCGCCATGGACGCGGCGTCACCCGGACAGCCCAGTAAATACTATATTACGCGTCAGATAAATATATTTTAAGAGCAAGTGCTTTCCCGTATTCCCGGACGTCCCGCACGGCGACCTCGCGAGCAGCGACAGCCTTGTGCCGCGGAGGGTCGTTGAAGCCCCATCGACGCACTGCGCGCCCGTGTGCTTCACTGTCGCTTGCGAGCGGAAGGTTCGCAGAAAGCCGAAGGCGGTGCGTCCCCGCACTTGGCCGTTCCAGGGACATCGCCAGCGCCTGCGCCGTCTGCCTGCGCGGAACTCCCTCCTCCTTCCGCAGAAGCACCTCCGGTCCGGGTACTGCGAAAGGGATTTTTGCGACAGCGTAGAGCAAAACAAAACAAAATTACTTTTCAGATGTTGGAATCAACTCTACTGTAAGATCTGGGAAATTTCATCAGCAGTTGCGTGGAGCCACGGTCCACTGGCCACAAACACATGAACAATATTAAATATTAATCAGATGCCAATTTGTCACACGTCGGTTTTGTAATGTTCATTAAAAAATTATCTGCGCAATGGCGGACTCCCGCCCACCTACTCGAATATTCGTGTTGCACATGACATCCAAACGTATCGATCCAAAACGTTTCTTTCTAATGGCTATCAAATAAACATTGACAATATCATGATACGATTTTGAATCATGAGGTAAGTAATACATGAGGGTATTGTTCTTAATATTTCTATTTTTTAAGAAATTGCATGAACTTTGACTTTTATATTGTTTGAAACTAATTCTATAAGTAGTTTTTGTTCTGCAAGGGTTAGAAAATGATTGGAGGAATACAATGATGATATATAACATGTTAATATTTTAAAAGTGTATTGGATAAAAATACTCTCTATCTGAAATTTTGTTTGGAATGGCATACCGCCTTCGAGATGAACATTTCCACGTCAAAGCAGTGCGCAATATTTGCCGCCTTTGCAACGGACCTAGACCTCTTAGTACGTACGTCGCTGGAAGGGCTTCGTACGCTACGTACGAGGCTGGAAGGGAGTGACTGGACGGATTGAAGGAAAGCTTCAGAAGCCAAGATCCTGACAGGAAGGACACACAAACAAATATCATTACGTACGTATAATAGTTCCAGATTGAAATTTGTTCTGCTCAATGTTCTGCCGAGGTAGAATTGATGATAGGCGAAGAAGCGCATGACGTCAGGAACTCTTGAAATGCTTGAACGTAAGCATAAAGTAAACATTTCCTGCTGAGGTACTTAGAATGTAGGTATGAACTTAGGATGCGGCTACGAGGTATACAGTGCTTGGTTGTAGTAGTTCTATGTGTGAAATCAGAGAAATATGAGAATTGTTTTGTCGTTTACGAAGAACAAGCAGAATTTTTGAAACAGAAAGGGAATTACGTGGGAGAATTAGCTACAAACTCCACAAAACCAAGCACAGCAAGATGATACGTAAAGAAATTCGAGCAAGAGCAAACAGCACATATCCTGTGCGATAGACCTGTACGATAGCAAACAATTGATTCCATGGGTTAATATCTACAATCCGCTGGAGAAATTTCGGAAAAAGTAATACATTCATATATCCGTGAATCGTTGTCTGTGCTAACATATCCATGGATCAATATAGACATGTGCTAGTTTGGAAAGTTACCACTTTCTCAATAGTGGTTCAAGAGATCCTGAGTTTACTTATTTATTTTATATTTTTTATTTTATTTATTTATTTTCGTGCAGTTGTTCAGCAGAAAATATTTTACTTGGGACTTAAACTTGTGAATTAATCGTTTAATGTCATCTGGCAAGTTGTTTAGACAAATAGGTTAAGTTTAGAAAAACAAAAAAATTCTGCCACTACATGTATGAGATTTTGTTTATGCTACTATATTTGCATGGTTCTAAACTACCATAGTTTTCAAAACAATATTACAAATGTCAACACTGTATTAAACCTTTTTATCGAAAATAGATCCCATTTTCCAATTCTGAGCGTAAATACTATTTAAAAAATATAAATCGAATGTGAGGGCCTCTGTCACACATAGTGAATGCGACTAATACGATAGTGAGGTTTACGACAAATTGTTTTCTTTCTTCGAGGGCTTTGCATTTACTCGATTAATCATGAACGTCAACAGAATTATGATTGATTTCGATGTTTTAGTCAATTAGCTTTTGTATAGTTCTCTACGAAATCTCTTCTAAGGAGATAAAATAATATCGGTTGAGTGGTTCCAAACTAATAATTCGCATAGTTTTATTAAGAAATGAGTATAAACTCAATCCGCAAAGATTCTTAAAAAACGTACCTTACGAAAGGTATTCCCGCCCGCTCAAAACCCGCAAAACCATTATCACTCGACCTCTCCAGCAGAAAAACGACCATATTTGAGGACGCCAGAAAATACAACACGCCATCGCAGCACATGAAACCAGACCTCCAAAACGCGCGCTTGTGTCACACGCGAGCCATCCGCCGCTCACGTCTCGCCGCAAAGGCAAAACAAACAATTGTTTGCGGAGCGGCGGGGACAACGCGGCGTCTGCCTCCGTTCTGCGGAAATTCGACAAAGCGCCTCTGACGCCCCGCGCCGGCTTCAGACGGAAGCCGCCTGCATCATCGTCTCCCTCGCTTCTCCCCGCGATCGCGCCTCGCGCCTGCCCTTTTATGGCACCTCGGCGCACCAGCGAGCACCGGCTCGGCGTTCTCACGAAGCGAGATGGGCGTTCCGGAAACCCGCAGACGCACCAACCCCCTCTCTTTTTGCATTAAACCGTCATATGTCTCGTAAAGGGCAATTGACCTCGCCAGCGTTGGATCTGGGGCTTCCCAGTCGGTCACCCAACCAGGAATGCGTGATGTCTCGAATTCGCTTCCCCTAACTTCAAGTAACTTCAAGTAATTAACGAAATCGGCTAGCGACGCCGCGCCGGTTTTGCGGTCGTGGCCTTTCGGTAGAACCATCCCAGCATTCGCCTGGATGACTGAAGGAAACCGCAAAAACACCGATCAGGATGGCCGGCACGGAGATTGCACCCGGGCCTCCGAAATGCGAAGTCAGCGCGCTACACCGTCAGCCACTTCGCTCGGTAATCCCCTCTATACATTTAAGTTGTATAATAGCTCCTGATTCGACGACTCTTCGTTCACCTCGTGACCTTGAAGTGCCACTATGTTTTAATCGAATTAGATTCAAATTGTTTTCGGTTGAGTACTGATTTCGGGTGCGTCGACTAAAGTATTTAGTTTCGCAAGGATACTGCATATTACTTCCAGAGAGGTGATGAGGTTGCGTCTTTTCTGGGAAGTGAGATTCAGCGCTGACTGTAGAATCACGGGAACCTGAGATTCGGCGACGGCTTGCGGGTTTCCCTTCCAGGTATCTCCCCCAGCAGGCAACACCGCCTCATCCACGATAAGCTCTAATCTCCTGACAAGTGTGGTGGTGTAGTCCGTGCAAGTCTGTGTGTTTGTAATGGGATGAAAAGGAACAAGAATGAGGAAGGAAAGATCGCGCAAGGTCCGTGGACTGTTTGTTAGGGTAGTGCTCAGCCATCAGAGTCGTCATAAGATTATCAATTGCTGGTATGCCTCTCTCTCTCTCTTTTTCCCTTTCTCTCTTTCTCTCTTCTCATATTGGGGTCTTGTCTGGTTTTATTGAGGTGAGTTCGGAATCGGATCATTCAACGACGAGTCGTGTCGGCTTGGATCGTGTCGGATAGGATTGGTTCGTATCGGATAAAATTTAATGGGATAGGATTGGATCGAATAGGATTGGATCGCATATATTGGATCGAATAGGATTGGATCGTATAGGATTGGATTGGTTCGAATAGGATTGGATCTGATCGGATCGGATTGAGTCGGATAGGATTTGATCGGATCGGAGTGGATGGGACCTGATCGGATGGGTCGGGTCGTGACGCGTCGCGTGTGTTCCGTGGGCGGAGGGGCGGGGCGGGGCGCGGCGCGGCGGGAGCGCGAGCGGCGCCCGAGGACGTACCCACGTCGGCGTCGGAGGCGTCCTGCGCCACGGCGCAGAAGCGGATCACGTACTTGTCGTTGACGGAGGCGGGCACCATGTGCAGGCGGCCCGACGCGTTGATGTTGCCCAGCAGCTTCTGGTTGAGCTGGTCGGAGCCGCGCAGCCGGAAGCACACCAGCCCCAGCTGCGCACGCACAGCGGCTCAGGAGGAGCGGGGAGGCGGCGCAACTAACCTGCTGCTCAACAGGTAAAACTAGTCGCTTCAAAGACATCCACGTTCACATCAAACGTAAGGTTAAAGTAAAAAACGTAATTTATTGTACATGATGGTACATTATCTTTATATGTTTATAAATATGTTTTTATGTTTATAAATACTTCTGTTATTTCTTTATACCCTTCGTATTCATACAAAACTTATTGGAAGTTGTTTGAAAAAATTGGTTACTATTGCCAAACGTATTTGGTAGCCCTGGTAGAACTGTGGCAATAAATTGAAAGCGAATTAATTAAAGTAGCGCGTTAACGTGGTAAATTACCTCTTTTATTTAACTCTATAGTACGATTTATTTAGTTGCGCACTTGATGTAAATCAGCTGTTGCGGTTTCATCCAATCGGGAGTTTATCTGTCCAGTGACGTCACTATGGGGATGTTCAAGCTCCCATTGATGAAACCAGTAACAGCTGCTTTCCGTCAGGTGCACGGTTAAATAAATTCTAGTATAAATCATTGTGCGCTGCGATAGTACACTGCCAGATGATTAAATGTATATCCGAGTACCAACCTTCAAAAATCCTGGTACCAATTTTAATTGATTCAAATTACTACATTGTTCATATCGTAACTGTTATGATTAAACGTGCACAGTAAATTCGTTAAACTTAACTCGACATCGATTCATTTTATATCTACAAAGTAAATGGAAGATTAACGTTCTATATTTTCCTACTATAGCATGTGCTAGAACAAAACATCTTATGTCTCCCTAAAATTTTTAGAGTAGTGATTTCACAAATATCGTAGATATTTGTAATATTGGTGTTAGATTTAAATTATTGAATAAAAAATACTAAACGAATCTTAGATCGTACGTCAATTACCGTAACTTTTAATCCTGGTATTTAAACGTACCAGGATGTCCTTAATCGTGGTACATGGTATCTTCATGAAAATCCTGGTAAAAGTACCAGGATTCTAACACGTCTGACAACACTGATCGCGTCTCACGCAGGGCCCACGCAGACACGCACGCACACAACGCACGCAGCGCGTCCCCACACGCCGGAAGACGTCGCCTTGATCGCGTGTTGATACCTCGAGCCGCTGTGTTTTGATCCCGCTGTCTGTTGTTTACTTCCCAACTCCTGTTTCGTTACACTTCAAGTATACAAGTCAAGTATTGTGTTTGGATAATTCTGCATTGTTTTATAAGAACTGTAAACTTGTTTCAGATTTATTTGTAAAAAAATGTAAAGGTACATCAAAAGTCATTTTATTAAGGATACAGAAATAGCAAAAATTGAGAAATGTTTTTTCTTTTCTTAACTGGAAAAGCGCTCTATTTACGGGCGAGTACGTATTCAACTGCAACTTCGTTAACATACTTATTGACACTAAATATTTTTTAATGTAACTATCCTCCTTTTTCAGGATGTACTCGAGAATTTGTCTTAAACTATTAATAATACGAAATAATGGTTTGCTGAAATTATGTTGTTGATAACAACCCAAATGGGTAGCAAATTTCTAAAAGTTTCAACGTCTAGAGACCGCAGAAACAACGTGTCTCAGCTCTGCAATCTTAAGGTCATTCACTCTCTGCATGCGGCAAACTTATCTATGGCGATTTCTAGGCTGCTTCGTTTATACTTGTATACCGCAGTGCCGATTGCCGTTTAGAGGTCACAGCACACGCTAGACGCTGTGGCGCTTGTGAATGTGCGAAAGATAGAGGCCGTGGAGACGTTTGGAAATCCAGTCGCACTGCGAATTTCAGAACCTGCTTTAGCGCCGAATTTTAAATCTGGTTTGAGTATAATTAATCATTAAGTACCGTAAAAGTAGTATTACTGAATTTGTCTCCTTAAAACTTCACTATTTGCGTAAAAAGTTTAGTCCGGACGGATGTTAAAATAAAAATGAGAGAATATCTTTAAAATGCAAAATGCTATCAAGAAGCTAGTAAGTAGAAACAAACTAGCCCCCTTGTCCGAATTCGTTTGGTGAAAAATTCTTCTCAATAGGTATCTTGAATTATTTAAAAAATATTTGAGTGAAAGTTTTTATTGTCTAATTCTGTACATAGTACATAAGACGGGTTTCAATCCAAATACACATTACTTACGAACGTGTTCATATAAGTAAATGTTTAGAGGTCCTGGCGTTAATCTGTTCATGTAACTGCTTGCGAGGTTTTGTTATTTCTTCTGAATTGTTTCTGCAATTCACAACTTCACTTCATTTTAGTCTTTGCTCTCATATTCACTATTTACCATTTATGAACTTTGAAGTGATCGACCATTTTTTAAAAAATATTTCTGCTGTTCTATAAAATTTACTTTCTTTTTACTACAGATAGTTGTGGTAGGGGTTAATAGGAATCATACAGTCAGTCACTTTCAACTACAATTTGTTGTGTCAATAAGAGAGGTTAAATATAACCTCTATGTATTTCTAGAATATAATATTAATGGAAGGTCATTGTATAAATAAAACTGATAGCCAGTGATCACTTCCAATACATTTTGCAGGGGACAAACAACTGTCTAACGGTAATAAAATTGTGATATTCGTCGTTATCTGAAGTATTCGACACTAAGAACTTCGAATAAATTAATTGTGAGAGAAAATTATTAAACTAACGGTCCAATCACTATCCATTAACTTGACCACCATCTCTTCACAAATAAAAGAAAAAAAGAAAAGAAAGTTGAAGAAAAAAGCTAAAGAAAGTAGAAGTGCATAATATCACAGTGCTACTGTTCTCAATATAATGACGTGCAATCCTACATGTAGTATGTTACGTATTTCAAATGACGATGATGATGAAGTTTTTAGGACGTAATGTATTTCAAGTATTTTGAATATACTTTTTTTAATTATTGCCCAGAATTTACTGCGCAATTATGTGTGTCGGATGTCGAGACTGAACCCTGGGGTTCGCTTTAGTTGACCGTATTTAAACTAGTGCCACACTGCAATAGTTAAGTGAAGATTAGAAAATGTTGGAAAATTTATTAATACAAACTTTAAAGTATTCTATGGAAAAACTTTATTCCTGAATTTGTTCACTTCCAATGAATCACAGGGTATTTAAAATTCATCTAAAAAAATGATTTTGCGCAACTTCAGTTTTGTAGAAATTTGTTTCATATACTGTTCCATCCAGTATTCGCCATGCATATATGAGAAGACCAATAATTATATTTTACAATTATGATTGTTATTTCAATTTTAATATATTTTTTGTTTAAGGGTAGAGTTGAAGTTTTTTTATTATTAGTTTTATTAGTTGCTTGCACCTTTCCAAATTAGAATGCGGACCCTTTTATTTTTTAGGATAAACATTCGAATTCGAAAGTGCGAAAGGAAGGGCAAAAAATGGAAATACCATCATAGAAAACTTACTTTTATGTATCTCATTTGCAGATGACCAAGTACTATTGTGGCAAGATAGAAGTGAAAGGTATTATATTTTTAGAAAATTTCACGAGTACACGAATTGGGATTTAAAAATTGAAACGAAAAATCATTAAAATGAAATATAAGCTTTTGGATACTTATTTTATTCAATTTGAGAAAAATAAAATTAGGGAAAATATATAATTTTAAATATTTAGATTTTTTACAAATTGTTGGGAAAACAAAAAAGGGGGACCTTGAAAGTAGAATATGTTAAGAAAGAAAGGCATATATAAAATATATTAAGCACAAATTATATTATTATTATTATTATTATTATTATTATTATTATTATTAAAGTTATATATGTTTATTATATTTAATATTATTAATATTAAAAATATTACGCATTTATATAAAATATTGAGGCATTTTAAACGTATTATTAAAGAATGAACACTTACACAAACTAAAATAATGATTTATAACTAAATCGTAGAAAGTTTTCCTTTATAAAATTTAGATGCATAAACTATAACTGGCAAACAAATTTTCAAAAACCGAGAGCTACAAAAACGGAAGGAGCTTTGAATGCAATTTGCAAGGATATTGAAGTACCGGGAAGATGATTACAGGTACTAGTTGATGAATTATTGCTGAGAATTTTCGGCGTGAAGTGTCGTTACTTACTGCCTTACGAATATTTCGCATCATGATGACTCCCGAAAAGTCAAGGCTATGTTTGTTATTGTAATTGCTGTTGGCCCCTTAATTTGCTTTAGCATAGGTGCTACTTTTTCACAGGCACTTCGGTGGACAATGCTTTGGATTGGAGGAGGCAGCTGTGTCCACCACGTGCCACGTTCCACGTGCCACGTGCCTTGGAGTAGCATGTGTGCACTGTCACGAGTGTTGGTTCGAACCCAATGTTTTCTTACTTTCCATTTTGTTTTGCCGACGGGTACATCAAGTAGTCACGCCGAGTTAGATCACGAAAAACTATTGTCATGCACGTGTGTCTTAGGAGTGTTTGGGTGGTTTGAAGACGATTTCCAGTTGTATAATGTGTTCACAAAGGCTTAAAAAGCACTAATTGTTAAGACTGACTCAGAAACGTCACAAGAAACATTTTACTGAATGTTGTACTGCAGCGCTGGAAGCTTGCGTGAATGAATAGAACGCATATTTTCTCGTCTATAAGTAAAAAATTAAGGCAATTACGTATTCCTGATTCTGTACCCATTCTGCAGCTCTGTTAGCTCTGCTTCGCAAATCGTCGGAAGAGTTGCTTTCGCTTTTGTATTTCGTCATAGATATTAGAATCATGGGGTTTTCATGTTAGTTGATCAAATGTTCTACCAAAATACTAGTAACTTGCCAATACTGAGTGTTTTATTTTCTAATTAAAACTGCACAACTGGCAAAATCCAGCTACGTTTCTTGGTATTCCGTTTGGCTGCTGATCTCAGGATGCTGAGCCAAGAACAGTCAAGTGGATATTACGCGTATCATGTATAGTCGCTGCGACATAAAAGTGAACCACTGATCTCATTAGCACTTGGCGAAGAGTGAACGATACGAGAAGTGAATCGGCAGAATATGCGATTAGATATTTTACAAAGTTTAAAAGGTGGAAATTTTAACATTGTAAACATTGTTTGTCGAAGCTTCACATATTGTGAATTGATTTTCCAATTGAACATCAAAGCGTCCATTTCTTACGATTCAAACAAAAACACGATAAAAATAGTACAGAAGTAGCCAAGTGAAAGAATTCGTGCTATAATCACTGGTACGTAAACTGAAAATGATATTCACAAGATCGTTACATCGATTGTGGTACTAACCAAAATATCTGCCCCAATTTTGCGGATATTTAAATGATATTTATCAAAGATACATCAGCAGTTGATTGCATTCCTAGTTTTTTGAGAACTTCCCACACTTTATTTATTTATTTATTTATTTATTTATTTATTTATTTATTTATTTATTTATTTATTTATTGGTAAAACGATAGATTTAATTCAGAAATTGAAATTCCCGTGTCAGTGTTAAATGTCAATGTGAACATAAGCGTAATCATTCTCATCTTTGGAGCAAAACTTTATGTAGAGTTTTGCAGCGTCTAAGCAGTAGAGGTCTGCATTCCAAGCAAAATCAATGGACGACCAGCTATCTCGCGCCTAGCGCTGGACGCTCGAGCGATTTCTGGAACCAACAACCTTTGCTGACATTTGCTCGCGCTCGCGCTCGCTCCCTTCACTGCCCGCGCTGCCACCTTTGAAATCCCTCACCCGGGAGCTGTTCACTGAGTTCGAATGACTTCTTAAATTTCAGAATTAATAGAAAGCTCCACGAACGAGCGATTTCGCGCAGCGCCGCGCTCCGAGCGCCTGGCGACCTACGCCAACCGATCACCCCGATCACCCGATCACCCACCGGTTGCTGACCGTCCCTCGCCCTGTGACTTACGAGATTTACAAAAGAGGTCTGTGGCAGAGCCTTCCCGATCTTACTCCGTACGCAAGCCTGGTGGAACCGTGAGCGGCGGTCGGTTGTTTTTCTCAGAACGCAGAGCTCTACTAACGAGTCGGCTGTTCTCGCTGTTTAGTGTAGGCGCTTGTAGAGCTGATAGTGTTCAGCGCATCGGCTCTCTTTAATCAACGTTTTCGGACTGCATAATGTCATGATTAAGAACCTCCTCAAATAAGCTTATGGAAATGAATACATCCCGTAACAATTCTAATACCAAAGTAACAATTCCCCAATATTGCCACGGACCTTGGACATTCAGACCTTGACCATAGATGTCGATCTTCTGAAGTCATCTTCCCAAAGCATATTCCCTGATATAGACCTACTGATGTAACTTCTCATTATTTGGATTTCCCATTATTTGGACCTCCCAATGATTGGACCTCCCAATGATTGGACCTCCCAATGATTGGACCTCCCAATGATTGGACCTCCCAATGATTCGACGTCCTGTTGTTGAATCTCCTGATGCACTCTCCAATACCACCCCTCCACTTCGAACATCCCGATTTATTACCGGTGTAGACCTTCGTATATGGACGCCGTCGACCAGACATCTATCCCTACGACACGGTTGTGGTCCATCGCTTCGAGGGGTGCACGCACCTTGACCTCGTTGCAGACCTGGAAGCGCGCGTCGCGGCGCACCAGGGCCTCGAAGGCCTTGGCGAGGCGGATGTGGTGGCGGATGTAGGCCTGCAGGCCCGCGATGCCGTAGCTGCGCAGCACGAACCACAGCTTGAGCGAGCGGAAGCGCCGGCTGAGCGGCACGCCCCAGTGGCGGTAGTCGATGGCCTCGTCCGAGTAGCCGTGCTGCAGGTACAGCGGGTCCACCACCAGCGCCGACGTCAGGCGCAGCCGGTCGCGCACCTGCGCAGGAACAGCGTGGGTGTGTTTCTGGGACGAACCCTGCGCGCAACACGGGTGTACCTCAAGGTTTAGGGCAGGGATGTCCAACTTGTGAGGCCTCAAGGGATACAACTAAAACCTTTGATATGGCTGCGGGATATATTTTCATTATCCGGACGACTCCCATCTAAATTTTCTCGCATTGTTGATCTTGGTACTGTGCCCGGCTTCTCTTAAACAGAGGGAGGTAAGCGAGATATCAGGCCGTATCATGCCTTGAAACAAAATGCGATGATTGTAAATTTATGAATTTATTAGACAATTTAGACTTAACCTATTTTTACATTAAAGCGGCTGTTGATCCCGGCAGGGTGAGAAAGGATTTTTTTTATTTTGACTAATAACCTTTCGCGGACCCCAATAAAGGCAGCGCCGCCCGCCAGTTGGACAACCCTGGTTTAGGGGATGGTAAGAAAAACTACTGGTGGTACACAATGGCACAGACTTTTTCGTACTAGATTGTTTCTTATTCTATTGCGTTTGGGATAGATTACGTTTCTCCCACACTCTCTTCCCAGCTGCCACGTATTGGCGCCTAAAAGAAGTTGGGTCACATTTTTTGGTTGAAATAGAATTGAAATATATCTGGGTGCTCCGTGTGAAACGGAGGTGTACTCATAATTGGGGAGTCATGATTTAGTCATTTATTAATGTTGGAGTCATTGTTAATAGGGAATGGCAAGAAGAAATAGTAGTGTTAAAGAATAGCGCAGACTCTCTCATACTAGATAGTTTCATATTCTGTTGCGCCGGGAGGAGCTTTTCAGTTTTTCTACACCCTCTTCTACTAGCTGCCATCTAATGTCGCCTAAGTTATATTTGCCGACATTTTCTCAATTTTTCGTTGCCCTAATAATAGAATTGAAATATGATTAATAATATTATATAAGAGTAAAACTTGGACACATGCAAATTTTGATGAAAAATTAAAGAGTCGTATTTGGGAAAATATGTAAAACTATTTCAATACTAATAGAAGATCAATTTTCCGGGCTGGTAGGCCGTGACCCAGTAGGCATTGATGGGCCAAACTTTTCGTCCACGTCTGCGGTGGCCATCCTCAGTGACGGCAGGGTCGCGGGCGCAGTGTTCGGGGCGGCGTCTGGCTGGCGTCGAAACGTTTGGCTCTTCAATGCCAACTGGACCACGGCCTACCAGCCCGGGAAAATTTATCTTCTATTGACTCCGGCCATGAAAGCCTACGATGCTACATATTTCAATATTAAGTTTTAAAACTGAAAAAGTCGTATATTTACGTATTGATTTTCGTGTTTGTGTGTAAACACAGTAAATATTCAATATGTCTATTTTATGAGATAGCCTCATACCTTGATCATGCTTAGCGTTCGTTAAAATGTAAATCTGGCCTTATCGGGTGACCTCGACGGCTAATTTTAAGAAAAAAGGTTTATGCTTGCTGGATATAAACTTCCTAAATAGCTTGAGAAGAATGCTGAATGCTGAAGATGCCAGTATAAGTTTGAGATTTTATTGCAGCAAATTTCTTGCAACAGCAATATTGTTGAATACCAAACTACCTCGAGTCACTGCAATGGAAATTGTTACGATATATCACTAATGAAAATCGGATGGCATCTCTGAACCGTAGATAGATTGTTACCAGTACGTTCCCTATTAGTGGTGGTCATTGTGAATCGAGCTTCCGGCACCACTACTCCTTCAAACCATGGCTAAACATTCAGGAATTTTGGAAATAGTTATTAGCTACCTAATTTCAACTGAAGTAGTGTTTTCGTCATAAAAATAGTTCTCAGCCCAGTTAACACCTGGAGATTAGTCAAAACACCATTTGTATGTTACGTTAGAGAGCTGCATTATCTGTAGGCACAAATTTCTAAATGTATATGTAATACTTGTGGGAGTACAGAGAATTGCTGTAGCTTCTTCTCTATGTATGGACATGTGCCACTTTAAATGACCCACACATTCATTACCATTGAAAATAACTTCAGGCACATTGTTGGCCTACTTTTTGGGCTCATTTGAAATTTTCCTTTGGAGCTTTAACAATCTTTAATTTATTCAACCTTTGTTTTTCGACGCACTATTTTACGAGTAATTTATTCGTAGTTATTTAAATTTTGTCTTCTTTCCTTGTGATGTCATTAAAACATTTTCAAATGTGACGTTTTAGAGAACGTGCCGAAACGTCACTAATATAAATGCACAAGACAACAATAATTATTTTACATACTATACTGCTTTACATACTACAATCATTATTTTATATACAGAATGACATCTTCCAGAGAAAAAAATTCTATACAAAGACAGAGCATGTCGGTGTGGTCAGGGCTTTAGCTGATGTCACTGTCTGATCTGGAGGTCCTAGGTTCGAGTCCCGTCGGCGGCAAGATTTCCGGTACTAGTCCGAGAGCTGTGTCAAGATCTGTCGGTGTCTGGAGGAGTATTCTACAGGCCGTCTGCCCTCATCAAAGTTTTCGATGGTTTCTCCAATGATCACCAGGTGTTTGCCGAAGCAGAACTATACAAAACGGGCCACGGACCACGCGCGATCTTTCCTTGTTTACTTGTTTCCTTGTTACCTGGTTTGGGAAAACCTCATTAGCCGACGGTAGGTTGACGCCGGATCTCACCGTTTTCCACCTCCCAAGCCAAAAGCATGCACTCCACTTGCGGGACTAAGCAACTTAGTAGTTGACGCGCCACGAATCAACCAGTGACTGAAAATGGAGGTGAATGGAGAACGCACCCAAAGGCAGGAACAGTCGAAGTTGGTGAGCAGCCACTTGTTGGGATTGGTGTTGAAGGAGTCTGCGAAGTGGATGCCGGCCATGAGCGGCTTGAGCTCGGGGCAGATGAAGGAGTTGCCGGCGTAGGCGGCGTCGACGTGCAGCCAGACGCCGGGGAAGGCGCGGCACACGGGCCCCACCTCCTCGAGGTTGTCGAAGGAGCAGCACGAGGTGGTGCCGAGCGTGGTCGACACGAAGAACGGGATGTGGCCCAGCGCCTCGTCCTCCTCCATCGCCTGCGCGGCAGCGCCCGCGCGCCCGCGCTCCTCTCAAACACTCGAAATGGCATTTGCAAGGCACTGCTCTTACGATTAATGTGTTTCCCAAAAAAGGAAAACCCTTGGATTGCACCGTTCTGTTAACAAACGTTTTCTACATTTTATTATACATTGCCATGAAATTTAAAGTAACAATCAGAACCGTAACTCTCCCCGGTACTAACGGAATATCACACAGGAGAGTGAAAAGAAAAGTATATCGTTTTTTTTCATATTAGAGAGTTCATTAAAAATGAAATTCCCTAAATATTGTATTTTTGTATTTCATTTTCCAATTAATATTTTACTCACAGTTAAAGAAAAGTCTATGATAAAAATATAACAGAGCTTCCCCCACCTTCACAGCAGAAGACCTTTCCCTATTTTGGGATGTATGGCTGATTTTATTTAATTGCATTCTTTGTGAACAATATTCCTGTCGCATGTCACATTCCAGCGTGGGAAGAACATCGCCACCTCCTGAGATGTAACATGCACACGTCCGGAACTAATGATGTTATACACACTTAATATACTTACATAATCAATACAGTTACGGAAGTAATGAGCAAAGCCTGGAAATATTAAATAAATAATCAATGAACCAATCTAGAAGGAAAGCGCATCCTGCGTGATGACTGCTGATACAGGGGAGTTACTCTGAGATTGGACCACTTTGATAGGTCGGGAAACAAATGATCCTCGTGTAGGGCAATGGCACTTCAAGAGATAGTAATGAAGCCATTTACAAATGAGCAAACTGTAAACGAACGCACTGCCAAAACGAGTGCATGGGCATAATAAGAAGTTGGTCGAGTAATCTGCGCGTAGGCACCTGCCGCAGCGTGTGGCCCCTGAGGCTGCAGCGCTCGTCGGGCTCGAGGATGCGCAGCTTGACGAAGCTGATCATGGCGGCCTTCTCGACGCACGAGTGCGCCTCCTTGGAGCAGTAGCCGATGAGCTTGCTGAGCAGCACGGCCTCCTCCACGAACGGGTGCTGCTGCTTGAGGCGCTTGATGGCCTGCGCCCGCGCCGCCAGCATGCACACCAGCACGCACTCGCTCGCAGACGTCTGCAACGCACGCACGCACGCGCACGCACGCTCGGGTCAGCTCTACGCGCCCGCCCTCCTGCCCGCGCTGCTGGCGCGCTTCATTCATTTGTCCCTCCGTCCGTCCGTCGGTTCATTCGTCCAACCATACATTCGTCCAACCATTCATTCACCCAACCATTCATTCGCCCATTCATTCATTCATTCGCCCATTCATTCATTCGTCCATTCATTCATTCGTCCATTCTTTCATCCATTCATTCATTTGCCTTATTCATTCATTCGTTTATTCATACATTCATCAGTTCATCCATTCATCCATCCATTCATTCATCTATGCATTCATCCATCCATCCATCCATTTATTAATTCATTCATCCATTCATTAATTCATCATTTATTCATTCATACATTCATTTATGCATTTACTTAAAGTTTAAAAACAAGCTTTACCTTAACGTCTAAAAGTAGTATTAAACCCTACATAACAATTAGGAGGAAAGCAAGATTTACTCTGGAAGAAGAGCAAGGGAGCATAACAGCATTTGCTCAGGGATTCAAAGGGAACAGAACGTATAGTTTGATAGCGTTCATTGTCTCACAAGTTTTTTACAATATTTTGTATTCGTATATGCAGTTATTTAGAATTTTATAAAAGTGAATATATGTTTATGTATGTGTATGAGTATGTGTATATGTATATTTCACAAAATCTTTTGAACCATTAGATAGATTGCGTTATTTTTACGAATGCTTTTGAGCGACTGAGGATAAAAATACAGGACGGTGCGTTTCGAAATGCTTTTACAATTTTGCTTTACAAAATTTAGTTAAATGTTATCTGCAAAGCATTTGGATGGCGCCGTTGCCGGGCCATGCGGGGCGGGCCGGGGCGGGGCGGGGCGGGCGGGCGGGCGGGGCGGGGCGGGGCGGGGCGGGGCGGGGCGGGCGGGGCGGGGCGGGGCGTGGCGCGGGGCGGCGCGGGGCGGGGCGAAAGGGCAGAGCGGGAAATGAACATCCGCGCGATCTAAGGTATCCAGTGCATTGTGTAATTATTATAAAATAATAGTTTTTGTTTATGATATTCCGGGTAGAATCTAGTCGTGTTGACGCAGTCGTGCAGTGGAGTAGGTGTTACTTGACAATTGAATTTGAGGATTGTCATCTGATAGCGATTATACTCGTACAATAACGTGCAAATGCTATACGTACATTCTAGGAGGAACACCGCAAAGGTCATGATAACCATTTTCCCGGAAAATGCGTGTCAGGTAAAAAACTAGAAAACAAACAGAGGAGATGGTGTCATATGCAATGTGTTATGACGCCCATACAAGGTAGAGGAGGCCAACACATTGCATTGGGGGAAGTAGGAAGCCAGAGTGTGTTGAAAAGACGTGCAGGATGAATGTGACTCCGTTTAAATAACGCATACACGTGAAAGTATCAATCATCCGTGAAAGGATGTGATAATAACACGCGGAAGCTTTAGGAAATTGTGCTATCGATTGTGCGGGTTACGCCGCCGCGTCGAAGGATGCAATTCGCAAGACTGGGCGCGGGGGCCTACGATATCAGCAATTAGGGGCAACTCCGCTCTATCACTCCCAACAGCTGGGAAACAGCAGTTGCGTTTCGGTGTGAAAGAGAAGCAACTGTCGATTTGCAACGTTCGGGACGACTCGTTGTGCGCACGGTCTTCGCTTGTGCGTTTATTGCTCGGTAGATGGAGAGCGACAGGGGTTAATAAAAGCTCCACACATACTCGCAGAAACAACCATTCATTCCATTTTACTTTCTCGCTACCACTTACGAGGAGAAAGAAAGTTATGTTGTGTGTTAGAGTCGGACAAACTGTCAGACAAAACAGAAAAACTCTTATTACAAGCCCTGGTAACGTAAAAGTGAATAAACCACAAAATTGCTATATTTAGAAAAAATCTTCTAACACGTGGTGTAGCCAAAATCCATTTTTTGTGGGTTCTTCATACCACAAAACGTCAGTCCGTCTGTGAACAACGCTAGCGGCTAAAACGTTCAGCCGATTTTCTTCAAAATTGATGTTCCCCAATCGATTCGGCTGATGTTGTGGCCCCTTGAATTTGAAAACGATATTTTAGGTATTTTGGGAGTACTTGACGTGAAGCCTTGGGACATTTTCCACATTTTCAAACTATTGGCTCCATCGGTTTTGATTAAATTTTGGTTTTGGGTAGTGTGAAGAACGTATAAGAGAATGGTGCAGGTCTCATTTTCGTTGAAAACTGTAATTTTTCGAAAATTTGGAAAATTCAAAATTTTTGTCGGCGTCTTCCTAAAACAATAGTTATAAAGATAAAGAGTTTTTCCCTTAATGCAATCTGTTTCTTGAAAATATATTTTGAAATAAAGTCATGTACATTTTTTCGAAAATTTGAGTACTTTTGTGTAATTTTACGTGAAAGTACGGGTGAGAAAGCATGTGGTGTTTTAGCCCCACTTATTTCTCGTGTGATGTAAACGACGAGGCCTTGCCCATCCACCTATCTCTGTATTATTTCGACCTCATACCAAAATTAAAGAACGCATTGAGTGCAATTGAAAGACATGTTTTGTTCAGGTAGAGACTTTGTTTCCATTTGGTAAAGTTTTTTCTTGTTAAAAATTATAACTACTTACAAGCATTTGATTAATATTCCGAAAAGCGTACAAAAGACATCTTCCAACTAAAATGTTCTTGTTGGGTTGGTCTTGTAGGGAATTCTCTCTCACTTTTCAGTTTAGCTAAGCAATGGTTTCGACTCAATAAGTAAAATATTGTTTTAATTTATTGAATTGAATGAAATATTGATTTGATAACGGAATCTCAGATAGTATTACATTTAATTCTATTTACACGAAAATAATAAATTAAATCAACATACCACTTTTACCCCATTGAATGAAAATCCTATCAAGGTTTTATTCCATTATCTGGGAGATTTATTCAACAAACAGCTTCGATAACGCACTTTGTCTTTCAAAACCCTGCTACCACGTCGATCCTTTCTGTTGTTCAATTGCCCGTCGAGTATCGAGTCCCTCTGCTTGATTTAAGAGGTGCGTGGAAATTTACGTTCTGTGCGAAGGGCGCGGGCCGAGAAGGGTCCAGTAATCAACTACGAGAGGGGGCTGTAACGTGATCGCAGACCGTTATCTGGCTTTTACATCGGCCTGCCGTCAAAGCGCGTGCGGCAGATCACGACGCGTTTGGTGCCGGATGGGAGAGCGGGGCGGGTTGGAAAGGCAGGGCGGGGTGGCCAGGCGGGGTGAGTGGAAGGGCGGGGTAGGTAGGAAGTGTCGGGACGGGATGGAAAGGCCGGACGGGTTGAAAAGGCGAGGTGGGTGGGAATGGCGTTCGGGGTAAAAAGGCGAAGTGTGTAGGCGGGAAGACTGTGGAAGGAGGGGTAAGAGGAGGAAGGGCGGGAGAAGGAGGGGGAGGGAGTGGAAGGGCGTGGGAGAGGTGGAAGGGCGGGGAGAGGTGGAAGGGCGGGGAGAGGTGGAAGGGCGGGGAGAGGTGGAAGGGCGGGATAGAGGTGGAAGGGGGGGAGGAGGTGAAGGGCGGGGAGAGGTGGAAGAGCGGGAGAGGTGCAAGGGCGGGGAGAGGTGGAAGGGCGGGGAGAGGTGGAAGGGCGGCATGGGTGGAAGGGTGGGGTGGAAAAGGACGGGGCAGGATGGACAGTTGGGCTGGGGTGGAAATGCGAAGCGAGATGGAGGAGCGGGCGGGGTAGGGAAGCGAGGCATGGTGGGGTTGGGCGGGGTGTTCTTCCAATAGCCCGGATTTCGAGGAAATTAGCTCAGTTTTATGTAGGCTGCCCGCAGTTCTCGCTCGTGAGCGCGTTTCGGTTTCTGCTGTTTCGGTGCAAGTCCGTTTCACCAACTGGAGACGGGCGTAGTATTATTGCCTTGCAGAAGTACTATCGATCCAAAATATACTAGTAATAGAAGGCATTCCCTTTTTCGTGTGAGTGTCTGAAAATTTACTCTCGAAACTCTTAAATGAATCATCTCTTTTCTGAATAAAAAATTATGAAACATTGTAATAAAATACAATTACACCTACAAGGTTTTACGAAGAAAATCTGCCTAGATAGAATAATTCTGAAAAGGAATTTAAGTTTTTAATAAATTACATTGCAATTAAATCCCATGTATATTGTTCTTAAATATCGTTGGAAGTCGCAAGTTAATGGGTGAGTCCTTGATAAACTCCAGTGTAGTCGTTAAGAGATAAAGTTACGATCTACTTACACCGTGCCAAACTGCTATGCAAGATAGTGTTTCGAGAGAATTGTATTTCCACTGTAAGCAATTATTTTCAAAACTCTCAGAAAAACGCACATTATGTGCGTAGCTAAATAAAATAATTTAATGAAGATAAAAATAAATCTGCGAATTGTTAATAAACTCACAGAAAAATCAAATATTTTAACGCCTCTAGATGCTTCACAAGCCGGATATGCACAACATAAGGTTCTGAAGAGAAACAGTACATTCATCGGCTTTTGAGGATGTTCCCATGACCTTCCCGGCGTGGATACGCACGCGTCGTGAAGAACACGCCACGCTCGTTGTACGAAGAGCCAAACAACCTGATCCAACTGCACAAGAATTATTCCAGGACCATGTTTTGGTATCGTTAAAACGAGGCGGTAATATAATTGCAATGAGAAAAGGGGACAGGCAACATGCATCGTGAATTCTACGAACGGAACTTTCCGCGTCCAGAGAAGGATAGGACGTGGATGCTCTTACGTCTATAATGAACTTTACTTCTGCGGAAGACTTGGCCAGAAATGTTGGGGCATAACGAGTTTCAGCGCTCCGTTCAAAGCTTTTAATTTCATAATATTATTGAATTCATATTACAAATATGTTTTTATTCACTTCTTCATATTGAGAAACGTCGTACTTGCCCTTCGTATTCACGTATGGAACAGAACGCGCCCATCAGTGTCGGCCGCATGTCTCCCTTCTCTAATCCTTCATATTCCGTTTCCATGTTTGTGCACTTATTATGGAGATATTCATCCCTGGTTCATTTCATGCGTTGGATGGTTTGTCTTAATGCGACGGAGAACCTTAGAGGATAGGATATCTAACCAATCCGGCCTACAGTAGATAAAGATCTCTCTCTCTATCTGTCTGTCTGTCTGTCTCTCTCTGTCTCTCTCTCTCTGTTTGTCTCTTTCTCTCTCTCTCTCTCTGCCTCTCCCTGCCTCTCCCTGCCTCTGTTTATCTCTCTCTCTCTCTCTCTCTCTCTCTCTTTGCGATAGCCGCAAGTGGTATGGTATTGCGCTAGGACTGTAAATCTGCACGAAGTTTGCCATTAACCACTAGCACAGCAACTCATTTCGCTGGTGTCGGAATCGCTTTTGCGGAAACGCATCGTCAGAGACTTTTTATCTAGAAAACAATGAAACCTGTTCTAAAAATCTTCCTGTTTACCAATAAAAAGTCTAAAATCGAAAAGAATATCGGCATTTATGCTGACAGCCGGCAAGAAAGGAAATACAGTTCCTTTACTGTTCAAATGTAACCTTACTCACTCAGGCTCTTAGCACCGGTATTAATCATCTGACAGGTTCTTCCACCATCTATAGGTACAGGACCAGTTGGGGGACGTGTACTCGTACATTTTCCAGAGTTATCATTCTAGTAGCTCCATCCGGAGATCTTTCTTTCTTGAACTCGTTGGTCTACTCCACCGAAGGGACCGGTTACTGCAACTTCCCGCGTGTACCCAACTCCCCGCGTGAAAGGTTAACGTTGAGATGGGTGCGAGAGGGTTTTGCCTAACACAAATTCTTAACGTTCAATGGTGAATGACGTTAATAATGAAGTGATAATGATGATAATTTATGGATTTATGATAGATTAGAAGTGAAATGAGAAAATGTGCATTTAGCCCTCTTTATCCACACAAATTTCAATTGAAACGACAGTTATTTGATCTCCGGTATCCATAAGGGAAAAACTATCCCTATAGACTCTTCTTAAAGTACATAGAACAGTCGTCTTCCTCAGCATCTTTGACTCTCATGCACAGGGCTTGGCTTCGACTAGCAACACAAAACTACACTCGGTTGACATTTCTTTGTATAACGTACGGAACCCCTCTTAGTTGTGAAATGCCAACTGATGTTCTTTCTTCTGGCATATAGAGCATATGTTGCAACTCTCTGATACTGAAAAATATGACTGTGAGGCTGTTATCTTTTAATGACTTTGTTTTTTAGTCATTCGGGATCTGATCCATCCTGGTCACTCTGAAGTGCATCTCATCTTTGACACATGAATCATCGTCTCTTACTTCTTTCTCATGATCTAGTATCCGCTACCATATGAGATGCTAGTTGGTCGTACTCTGTGGCGTTTTCCATGGGATAATATATTTTTCACTCTCACTTCTCTCTTTTTGAGTGATCACATGATACATGAAATGCTTTGTATATGCAACATTAATCTATATATTTTCAGTATGTTATTTATACAAAAATCTACAAAACTAGACATTTTAAAAACCTATTATATTTTTTAGATTAATCTCGTATGGGAACCTGCATTTCGTAGCATGGATGGACAGAAACGAGCTGAACTTCAAAATCCATGTAAATTTAAATTGAAAATGTGATATTCTAAGCAATTTAATCTCCACACTTAGCAACATTAGAATGATTACCCACCTACAGGTCGAGCTTATATACCTGAATGACACGAATTAGGAGCCAGGTCCGTTCAAAATTCTTGTTACGAATGTAATGAATTTACGTCTCGCTACAGTGTATGCACCCGTAGATGCCGACGATAGTATCTCCGTGATTCGTTGGTATCTCCAATACATGCAGCTGCCGCTTTTTTTCATTTGCCCAACGTCGCTATCCATTCGCCTCTCTCTTCAGGTAATTTTAAATAAAACACTTCCTGTTCCGACCGAAAGAAAATATATTGTCCGTGAATTCGGGCTTCCACAATCAATCGGCGAACATTTTATGCTCCGCTTTCGCGGAGATCTTGTTCCGTATTCTAGGACCACCGATTATTGCTATTAAATGTCTTCCCCAAGGTTTTCGTCGATTTTCTAATCTTTTGAAGACGCTATTATTTGGGTATATCATTTAAATCATATCATTTAAATCATATCATTTAAATTATATCATTTAAATCATATCATTTAAACTACATCATTTAAATCATATCATTTAAATCATCTCGATCTGCATCCATTTCTTACGATCTCGAGACAGTTTCTCACACAAACTTGCGTCCATAGTAACTGATGCTGTGTTTGCCTCTTTCTTACGGCTTTGTACACTCGTACTGCGTTTTATATTTACATCGTATTAATTGTGTTCCATTATTCTGCCGTTTTCAATTTTGAAACAACTTACATTTTACTTACTTTTCGTGAGCATTTGCAGCAACAATTGGAAACTTCGAATTTGGAGGGAACGTGGAGGAAAAGGCGGTTAAACACAGGCCCGGCTGAATGAGGCTGTTTGCTCTCTTCCTCCGCTGGCTGACTGGCTGACTGGCTGGCTCCCGGGTCGAAGGAGGGGGCATCGATTGAGGCTCCTGGCGGGAGCGGGGCGGAACGCTCGGCCGCACATGAAAGAGGCCGCGGATCTCTCAACTGCAGCGTGGAACTGTGGCATTGCGCGCGTTCGCCCGGCCTGCTCCACGGCTCGAGTTTCCAGCGGAGTCTAAAGCTGCACCTTCCTGGCCACTGGCGCCCGAATAATTTTCGCTGTGCGTCACGCACTCGTCGTCCTCGTCCACGTAGTGTGGGATCATTGTTGGAGCTATCTGGTAGCATCTGTTTGTAATTTGTTTCAATTGTTGTGTTGCTAATTAGGGAGGACATTCCAAAGCGACAACTTTTTTTAATGCTTCTTCTCGTTCGACCTGAGGTATTTCGAGGGTTTTTTGGGGGGGGAGGTTTGGGTATTCCTTGACAAATTTAGGTTAACACATTCTGGTTTATTTTATTAATGCGTGTTGTCTTAGATGTTACTGGATTTTAATCTTGATTTTTAGAAATGTGAGCTTTTTTTCTGCGAAAGGATCAAAAGCATTGGACCTTAGCTGCATATGCTCTGCCAGCTTCAGTGCGAGCAAGGTATACATTTACGTTTCATCGGCTTCTCCCTCCAATGTGGCAGTAGGCTTACAGCAGGCACAACGTATGACACGTTGGACACCAACTGCACGAGTGAGCCGGTCGCTAACAATAAGGGAACGGTAAGGGTAACAGTTAACTTAGAACTAACAATAAGGGAACGGTAGAGGTAACAGTTAACTTAGTAACAATAAGGGAACGGTAGAGGTAACAGTTAACTTAGAACTAACAATAAGGGCATGGTAGAGGTAACAATTAACTTAGATCTAACAATAAGAGAACGGTAGTAAAATAAAGGAACGGAGTCGCGCGGTCAGCGCCAAGCGCTTCATTTTCGCGGTTTCCTCAGAGTCATTGTTTTGGTGCAGGGATTGTTTCCACCTCGAACGCCACGCACTCGTCGCCCTCGTCCGCGTGCTGCAGCATCATTGTTGGACCTATCTGGTTCGCCAGGCTCGACGACTGGAGTTTCCAAGAGGAGTCTAAAGCTGCACCTTCCCTGGCCATTAGCGCCCGAATAAATTTCGCTGTGCGTCGTGCGTGCACTCGTTGTCTTGGTCCGCGTAGTGCAGGATCATTGTTGGAGCTATCTGGTAGCATCTGTTTGTAATTTGTTTCAATTGTTGTGTTGAGATGGCACGCTCTGGTCCGGTCTGAGCAACAAGGATCTGCAGAACGCAACTACACGAAAGCAGAAGCTGATGGTGATTGAAAATGTTGTGCACTTACAATTCGACACATCGATTTATTAATTATTTAAAAAAAATCAGTGTAGAATTCACAATATGATGGAGAATTAGTAAATGTAGTTCACAGGATTTGGTCAGAGCGAATAAAAAAATTAAAACGTGAGTTGGCTGACGTTTCGGAATATTTTTATTCCATCCTCGCGACTAATGTAAAAAGCGTGAAGACTACATGAATATGAATATACACTTCCATAAATTAATAACAATATATTCACAATGATACAAGATATAATTGTAAATTTTCATAATTCTTTAGCAAGGTGTGTACATATTGTGCGTTTTTGCATATCATGTTCTTAATTTGTGTAAGAATATATTCGTATTGATGTATCCATGCTTTTAACACTAGCCCTACGGAGGGAACACAAATATTCCGAAACGTCGGCAAACTAATGTTTTAATTTTTCTACTCATTCCAACTAAATCACGTGAACTACATTTCCTTATTCGAAAAATGTTTTACTTCATGCCGGGTTTGAATACAACAGCTTTCATCGGTTTCATTCACTGTTTTCTCGTGACGGAGATTTTAACCTCCGCCTGTGTCCGGATCATCTATTATTTCAGCGCTCATGGCAATGAATACACTTTTTAGATGACATCAGAATTTGGGGTTCCTGCGCATGTGTGACCTGTGCTGCAGATTCACGCTCTTCACTAAGAAAGATATTCAACCCATCCGGGTCAGTGATTGGCTTGCTATCAGGTGCAGCACACGACCTCCAGTGGCCACATGATAGACCGTGGAAGGAGATCAACAAAAGCCGTCTCTGCTAGAAGTAGTGCGCATTCGGTGGTGTGTAGATTAGCGTTGTTGGGCTATTGTACCCGAGTTGGCGTGTAAAGACCCCCAACGAAGCCGTGGATTTTTAAGGGCGAAAAACATTCTTCGCCCGCCTGTCTACAGAGAGAAAGTAAATCCTATTGTCCTATGCTGTAGATTTTGTGCATGTAAAAGATTCTCAAGCCTAAAAGAAGCCTCTGAGCTAAATTTAAATCGCCTGTTTCGTCACCCGAGTGATAGCTTTTAGCTAGAGGCTTGAAGGAGAGAACGAAATTTGTGTGCTCAGATGGAAGAGAGAGCCTGAGTCTCTCCTTAATGAACCGGATCGAACTGAATTGAATTGAACGAAATGGAACTGAATGGAGCTAAATGGAACTTAATGGAGCTAAATGGAACTGAATGGAGCTAAATGGAACTGAATGGAGCTAAATGGAGCTAAATGGAAGTGAATGGAGCTTAATGGAACTGAATGGAGCTTAATGGAACTGAATGGAGCTTAATGGAACTGAATGGAGCTGAATGGAAGTGAATGGAGCTAAATGGAAGTAAATGGAGCTTAATGGAACTGAATGGAGCTAAATGGATCTGAATTGAACGAAATTGGACTCAATTGGACTGCACCGAAGTGCACTGATCTGATCGATCCGTCGGTTCGCCAGTTTTTTGAAGTCGTGCGGGGAAAGCGTGGGTGCCAGGGGGAGCAGTGTTCGGGAGCGGCGGCTGCATCCGGGGGGGGGGGCGCGTGGCGGCGAGCGGCGCGGCGTAGCTCACCTGGATGACCCCTCCGCCCTTGCTGCCCTCCGAGAACGTGAGGAACTCCTCCGGCAGCCCGATCGCCTTCCCTGCGGACACGCGAGGCGCCATCAGCTGCCGTATAATAGATAACACATACACTCGTAATGTACTTACGACATGACGCCCGCAGGCAAACATATGATTATATTATATTACATTATACTTACAATGCTTATATCATTTATAAAAGCTTTATTTGTTTATATATAATGTAATTACTATTTAGTAAATGTAAGTCTTTGAATGCAAACTTTCAATAATTGGCAAGGATAGGATATTTTTGAACCTTGGAAATGGATATCCCTTGCTTTAATGAAAGTTATCTGTATGTTTGGTCGTTGAGAATAAACCGAAGAGCACGGAGGAGGATGCACTGCGTGGAGTAGGTTCTCTTTCCGGCTCTCTTTTCTAAAGAGGTAGAAGGAATTGGTGCGGAATGAAGTGCTTGGTCCGGTATTTAAGGTACCGCACCCGCAGTCACCTTCTTGGAATTGACAAATGAAGCCTCCGCATCGACCGATTAGGTGAACGATGCAAATGACCCAAACACTAAATTAATACGCTTTTTGATGATGAAGATTTTTGTTATTAATGTAAATGTGATGTGTCGTAAGTTAAACATATTCTCTTGACGTTCGAAATTACTGAAATTGAATCACATACGGTGCGAATGTCGCTTCTTTCTGCTTTAGAAAAGAACTGAATAAAATTGACCAAATTTTAATTTTTGTTTTAACCAGTAGCGCAACGAAATGAGTGCTGTAATAAAAATCGCCCTTAAATATAGATCCTGTTTTACCTGGGCCCGCCCGCATTGCGGGTCTTACGTTACTCCACTGTTCTTAACATCTTACGTCCGTCTTTGTCGGCGTCGTCATCTTTCTCCGGCGCTTGTAAATGGTCGTCATCGCAAGTGTATTACTTAAACTTAGCCAAGTATTTGCTCCACAGAACAATGTGGGGGACGGAAGAGCTTTATCATATGGGAAGTTGGTGCCAATTGCGTTTAACCGCTTCCTGCTTTTTCTCAGATAACCCCTGCATTCCGAAAGGAGAAAGCTGTAAACGTTAGCGGATATGACCGTTCTTCCAGCATTCTTAATTTACTATGTTTCCTTATTATTGTTGTTGCCTGCTCTTAAATGAGACACGTTATGGTTATAGACGTATCATTTAAATATCCTACACCTGGCCCGAGTTCTTCAAACAAACTAAAATTGTTATAGATCATATAAACTAATTTTTGTTTATCAACAGTAGGCCACTATCAAGGAGTGATTTCAAAAAATCATTTTTATGCAGAGAAATTTAGTATTTATTTACAATACACACAGAGGAGTGATAAGATAAATATTAATGAGCAAGAAGAAGTGAGTACATATATAATGCCAATTGAAACGCTAGCTTTGTCCGTCAGTGTCTTCTTAGAGTCTGAAACGGCAATTACAGCAGCTGTAGACCGATGTATCTCAGGTGTCATACCATTTTCGATTCCGTTCAACCCCGCATTCGCAACGTTGCATTAGTGAGGGCTAATGCCTGTGTAATGATGTATTAAACGTTGATTTCATCACTACAATGCAGGTGATATAAACGACTCATTTGACTGATCACGTCACTAGTTATTTCAATTATTGTTCCAAATACGTATTCCAGGCTTCATTTCCTTTGAATATTTTCTTCTATATGTGCACATTTTTTTGTGGTAATAATTAAGGAAGAGACAAGATGAATACAATTTTTGAGATTAATAAACATGAGTAAAATTTCAAAGGATAAAGATAGCTTCCATTTCCTTCGAGGTCCTTTAAGCTCCTTCCGTTTCCTTTCGCTCAGCATGCTCCGTCCACTTCCGCTCTGCCTATTCCTGCCGCTCGTCCCGATTTTTTGCTCATCTGTCTACTCTTCCGATTTTACCGCTCCTTCGCGCCAGACGTCTCCAGGTTTCTTCTTCTTCTTCTTCTTCTTCTTCTTCTTCTTCTTCTTCTTCTTCTTCTTCTTCTTCTTCTTTTTCTTCTTCTTCGTTGTTGGGCACGACGTAATGGAAACCGAGGAGAAGAGGAACGTGATCTTAGTACTGCCTCGGTTTCATTGTTTTCATTGTTCCTGATAGAGCGGGTTGATTTGAGTGACGTTACCATTCCGATATTTGGTAAAATGTGTGATTATGTATTGTACTAATTATATATTTACTGACATGCATGATTATTTACAGTTCTACTAAGTATGGCCACCTAGAAGTAAAACGTGATCTCAGAACGGCCATAGGACGAGCCGTCGCAATCGCGTGTCCACGGCAGAAGCGTGAACCGGTTGCTGGGGGCTGGCTAGATGTGTTGCCGCGCCAACCCTAACCAGACGCCCACGCCGACAGACGAAACCGCGCGAGTGAGCTGCGTCACCCAACCCAACCCGACCCAATCCAACCTAAGCTAACCTAACGAGAGCACTCCGGCCGCTCCTTGCTCTCCTTCCGCCCCA